GCTTCGTGTATGGCGTCGGCGGCGTCATCTTCTACCTCAAATCCAACTTCATCTTCTGTGGTCAAAATGGCGGACATCACCATTCCGTCCCAACTGAAGTTTCTCATGACAAACATGAAGTCTATTCTCAATCTTCAGCTCACTACAGATAACTTTCCGCTATGGAAATCTCAGATTCAAAAACTGTTTACAGCCAATGGATTTGATGGTTATTTAGATGGCTCCATTGCAAAGCCTGCGAAGCTCATTTCCTCATCCTCCGGTGAGCTTCAAGCAAATCCAGAATACTCTACCTGGCTTTTAATAGATCAGAATCTTGCGGCAGTGCTTTACTGCACAATTTCTGCCACATTTCTTCCCTATGTCTTAAATCTGGACACCTGCTGGGAAAATTGGCAGACCATTGAGCGTTGTTTGTAGTCTACAAATCGCTCGAGGATACTTCAGCTTAAAAACGAGCTGCATCACGTTACCATGAAGGATAAGTCGATGATGCAGTATTTATCAGAAATCAAGAGTAAAGTCGATGCCATCGGTTCCTCTGGTTTTCCCTTACCAACGAGGATATCATCATGTACACATTAAATGGTTTACCAATATTTATCAGGCATTCAAAACCACAGTCCGGACAAATTTGAATCCCATAAGTCTAGATGATTTTTATTCACTATTGTGTAGTGAAGAATTAAATCTTGCTGCCGATTCAATTCGTGATCTATCCTTTGCTTCCTCATCAGACCCGATTCCTGCGCTGTATACTCAAAAGAGGTCGTGGACGGGGTCGCTCATCTCGTGGCAGATTTACACCTCGTGGCCGTGGACGCACTTCATCTCTGCGTTCGTCAACTGTAACTTCGTCGCCAATAGAATGGATTTGTAGAAAAATTGGTCACTCCGCATTTAAGTGCTGGTATCGCGGCGGTTTCTCTTTTCAGCCTCCTGTTCAAGCATATGCAATAGATACTGCTTCTGCGTCGTCTGACTGGCTGCTTGACACGGGTGCAAATTCGCACCTCACCAGCAACTCGTCCCAGCTGCAGCAAGCTCAACCATACAGTGGCAATCAACAAGTTCTAATCGACAATGGTGATCTTCTACCAATTACTCATACTGGTAAAGGCTTGTTACCTACTCCTACACGTAAGCTCCACCTTAATTCATTGCATCTTGTTCCAAAGCTTTGTCATAATCTTCTTTCTATCAATAAACTCACTACTGACAACTCATGTTCTGTTCTATTTGATGCTCATGGCTTTACTATAAAGGATCCGAAGAACAATCATATTCTCCTTCGCGGCCCCTCTCGTCACGGTCTATACCCAATTCCTACTGACTCCAGCGTTCTGTCTGCTCAGCTGGCTCTTGTTGCAAGTTCGTCATCCACTACGCTTTGGCATCATCGCTTGGGACATCCCTCCTCCAAAGTTTTACTCAAGCTACAAAAGTTTATTTTCTCTTCTAAGTCTATTGTCTTGTCTTCTCTAGAATGTAAAGCTTGTGCCATTTCAAAAAGTCACAAGCTCCCTTTTTATCAGTCTCTTTCTCGTTCTACTTCTCCTCTTCAGTTAATACACAGCGATGTTTGGGGACCTTCTCCCAAAGTATCTTTGCAAGGCTTTAAATATTATGTTATTTTCATTGATGATTTCTCTCGTTTTTGTTGGTTGTATCCACTTAAAGCAAAATCTGATGTTCCAAATATTTTCTATAATTTCAAAACTCTTGTTGAAAATCAGTTTGATGCCAAAATAAAATGCTTAAGATCTGATGGTGGTGGGGAGTATAACTCCAAACAGTTTCAATTATTTCTTAAACAATCTGGCATCATTCATCAACAAACATGTCCTCAGACACCCGAGCAAAATGGAATCTCTGAACGAAAACATAGACATATCACAGAGACGGCTAGAGCTCTCCTCTTTGAAGCAAACCTACCCACTATATTTTGGGTCCATGCCGTTCAAACTGCAGTTTTTCTTATAAACTCCTTACCTTCATTATCTAGAAAAGCTCATTCTCCTTTCCAACTTTTTACAACAAACTGCCAGATTACCACTCCTTCAAGACATTTGGATGTCTCTGTTACCCATTCCTGCCATCTCAAATTCAGTCCAAATTTCACCCAAAATCTCTTCAATGTATCTTCCTTGGGTATCCACTCAACACTAAAGGATATCTATGCTTTCATCCAGAATCTGGCCGAATTTTTGTATCCAGAAATGTCAAGTTTTCTGAATCTATTTTTCCGTCTGTTCCATCTTCCGTGTCATCTACCTCAACTGATGCATCTGTTTATACCCCTCCTTTACTATTAGTACCAACTAGCATTCAACCTTCTCAGAATTTATCCTCCACTTCACTTAATAGTCCAAGCCAATCGGTTCTACCTGCTTCCCAACCGTCTACTATTCAGGCTAATTACAATCCTAATGACACTCTTATCACTTCTTCTTCCTCACCTTCTGACACTTACCAGCTACCACTCTCTAATCTAATCTCTCATGCCACCAAACACCCAATGCTTACTCGTTTGCGTACAGGTAACTTAAAGCCTAGACACATTATTAGTATGACTAATTGTCTTACTTCATCTGATCCGACCTGCTTTACACAAGCTGTTAAAGATCCCTCTTGGAGACATGCCATGTCTACAGAATTTGCTGCACTTCAGAAACAAGGGACATGGCGGTTAGTACCTTCTAATCCGCTACAAAACGTTATTGGTTCCAAGTGGATCTATAAAACCAAGCGTAATCAAGATGGTTCTATAGCTCGTCTTCGGGCTAGGCTGGTTGCTCAAGGATGTCATCAACACTACGGCATTGATTATTTGGACACCTTTAGTCCTGTTGCAAAGTTTCCAACCATCAGAATTCTACTTACACTTGCTGTTACTTTCAAATGGCCTATCTCTCAATTAGATGTATCTAACGCATTTCTACATGGCTCTCTTAGTGATACAGTGTACATGGCTCAACCACCGGGATTCAAAGATCCTCTTTATCCAGATCATGTGTGTCTTCTTCAAAAATCGATCTATGGCTTAAAACAGTCACCTAGGAAATGGTTTGAGACCTTTTCTCACTACTTGCTGTCATATGGTTTTACTCATAGTGCAGCTGATCCTTCCCTCTTAATCTATAAGAAACAAGCAGCAACTATCTATATTTTAGTTTATGTAGATGATATCCTTATAACTGGAAGTGATTCAGTTCTTATTCAGCATCTCATTGCTGCCTTAGCTGCTCGGTTTGACATGAAGGATCTCGGCATGGTTTCATATTTCCTGGGAATGCACATTCAACCATTCCAAGCAGGTTTACATGTCTCTCAGTCACACTATGCATATGACATTCTTAATCGGGCTGGTATGCTTGATTGCAAGCCCTTAGCATCACCTGCTCCAACTAAATTTCCAGTCACTGATGAGACCGAGCTATCTCATGCTCAAGCCAATCTGTTTCGCCATCTAATTGGTTCACTACAATACTTGACAATTACACGACCGGATATTGCCTTCACAGTGAATAAACTTTGTCAACATATGCATAAGCCACTAGAGACTGATTTCAAGCTGCTCAAGAGACTTTTACGATATGTTAAAGGCACACTTCAGCTGGGTTTACCTATCACTCCAGGTTCACTACAACTTACTGCATTCTCTGACTCTGACTGGGCTGGAGATCCAAGTGATCGCAAGTCCACTACCGGATATTGTGCCTTCTTAGGGAATACGTTGATATCCTGGCAAGTAAAGAAACAAAAGACAGTAGCTAGGTCCTCCACGGAAGTTGAGTACCGTGCTCTAGCTACAGCTGCAACAGATATTGTCTGGCTGAGACGTTTATTACAGGAATTTCAACTTGATGTTAGTCAACCAACCACACTGTTTTGTGACAGTATTTCTGCAATGGCTCTTGCACATAACCCAGTTTTTCATGCAAGAACAAAACACATTGAGATTGATGTGCATTTTGTTCGAGAATGCATTAAAGCAAAGGTGCTTCAGGTTTCACATCTTCATACAGTTGATAAATTAGCAGATTTCTTTACAAAATCCCTGTCTCTTCCACGCTTTGCTCTTCTCCGATCCAAGCTCACACTCACCGAACCTGTTGTAAGCTTGCGGGGGGCTAATGAGACTAAGTAATTCATAATTGCTAAACATGATTACTGGATGTAATCCTCTACTCCACTACCCTCTGTATTGGCATGTGCTGCAGTCTGACGTCTCATCTAAATCGTTGATGGCTAACTGTTTCATCCTATCCGCTCATGTTATTTTCTCTCCTCATCCTTACTGAGTATATGTATGTTGCTACAGTAAATGCAAATGAGAAAAACAGAGGATTTTCTATTTCCTTGGTTTCTGCAATGTCTTCTTCCTCGTTGCTCTGCTTTGCTTTTCTTGTCTGTGTTTACAGGTATCAGAGACAGAGCTTCAACAAAGCGTGCAAACAATGAAAAATTGCCGCTTCCGATAAGCGAAGAAAAGGCAAGAGAAGAGAAAACTGTCCCCTAACTCAAGAAGGAAACACTCTGTCGATTTACATTCATGCAAGATTAATACACAATATTAACGTAAATCTCAATTTTAAACTATTGAAGGAAAACCCTTTGTTCGTGGCTAAACTATAACTTATCAAATCATTATAAATCAATATAGCATAAATCTTAAGTTCCTTAACCTTTGCCTCGACCACAGAAAAATCCACCTAAATTAAAATTTAACTTTGATAAACAACCTAATCATGTATTGCAGGAGTAAGAAATGTCAATCGAAATAGATTTATATCGGAACAGTAAAATTCACAATTAATCAGCTAAGGATCTTCCTTGCCATAATTCCAAGGGACATATTATCCAAAAGAGGAAAACACTAGCTCCGGTGAGAGACCGAAGCTATATGAGCAGACAGCCTAAGGCTGTAAACATCCTCACATGACTGAACATGGAAGATAAATGAACAAGGAATTTTAGGGCATCGATTCCGTCCTTACTTGGAGTCCTCAAGCTTGCCGCTGCCGACGCCTCTCTCGCTCGCCTACCTACTCTGCTCCTCCCGTTCTTCTCTTCCTCTCTTAGATCTCTCGTCTGCTCATCCTCGCTCTCACTCGATCCGGCTCTAGGCGCTCACGCCGTTTCCCTCGACATAGAAGCACGATTGTAATCACAAGAGCAAATTTGGGCGGCTGCAGTCTCTTTTTTTTTTTTTTCGTTCAGGAATGGCGGCGAATGGAACTGTAAAAATTAATCTTCAGTTAAAAATGTGAAACAAAAAAATAAATAAATAATCTTAAGACTGCTATAGGTTGTGAAATTTGATTTTATATGCTATTTGGGTAAATATGCCTCTCTTTTTTTTTTTTTTGGGGAAATATAACTATAAATTTATTTCTAACAAAAATACTCTTATTATTATATAGGATTGTTCGAACATATAATATGAATCATTATTCTTTTCATCTTATTTCGTTTTTTAAGCATCACTCAAACTCAATTAAATTTTAGTATTTAATAATTATTTCATAACAGGAATTCCAATGTGATTCGAGTTTTACATTCTAACTTAATTTATCTCATTATGTTGTGGGGGAGTTGATTCATTTAAATTATTTTACAATAAATATAGGTGCTCAAAATTATTATTAAAATAAAGAAGTATTACACCACCATCATTAACTATCAACACTCATTGATCATAAAGCTCTGCACGTTGAAAAAAGAGCTTTATTAACTATCAACACCCATCATTATTTACAAATTAAGAACTAGGATCTATAGTTGTTGATACGAGTTGAGCTCATTTTTTATGAGGTCATCAAAAATTACTCAAATTTATGGTTGTTAAGCATCTTGTCTTCATTCAACACTTCAATCAACTCCAATCAATATTTCAATCACTTCAATCATCTCTACAATCAACCTTCATCCATACCTCACTTAGTCATTGATCATTGCCTATACTCTACATCAATCATCTTCAATCAATCAATCATCAATTAGCCATCAACCTACATCCAATTACACTTCAATCATTCAATCTACAATCAATTAATCACCTTCTACAATCAAAAATCACCCCACTCTCAATGATCCAGACAATCAACAGCCCTACACTGTAATTAGTTAGCTCAGTGCACTGCCTTGCATAGTGCACTGACTCATTGACTTCAATTGTGATCCAAATCACTTCACTAGGAGCTCCATATATCAAATCGTCCGTCAATGGACTCTTCATCATCAATTGACCCATCTGACCCAATTGAGGTAGCTCTAGCTATCCCAATTGATCATAAAGCTCAATCTCCACCAATTGAACTTCAAATCATCTTTGATTTTCACCAAACTATTTTGAACATCAATCCTAGTGCATTGGACATGATCAATCACCCTAGCCCATTCATCGGTTGATTTGGTCAAATAAACTCAAGTTTAATCAAACCTAACCAATTTGGATTGACCCATTGCATGTACTCAAACCAATCCTCCAAATATCTCAAGATTAATTCATTGCATGTTGTAAACACACTCAAACCATTTGTGAGTCAAATGTAATGGGTTTGAATTGGTCAGCCTATTGAATTTGGTCAAACCAAACACATGCACTCAACCCTTCATGCAATATATTAAAACCATTGCTCCAAACCCCTCTAACTCAGCTCAAACACCATTCAAATATCCATAAAGACTCATCCTAATCAGTTTAACTTGTTAACTGGTCAAAATGGTCAATAAAGTCCACCACCTCAAAACCTACATGATTTTAAACTACCTAATTTCAAAATGATCAAACCTAAATCAACTTTGCATTTCTCTGCATATAAGCCCTCCTAATCCTATTTTGGGAGCTTCATAAGCTTTCCAAAACATGTGAATATCCCAAAACGTGGTCCAAAGCTTTGATTTAGCCAAATAAATCCCTCCATGATCCCCTCCATGGAAAAATGGCCAATGGCATCCACCCCATTCCAACAACTCACCCTCCCCAAAGCTAAGCTCTTTTCCACTTGGCAATCATTTATGACATGAACCAAAAAATCCCAGCCTTTCTTAGGATGGAGGAACTTAGAATAGATGAAAATTTTGGAAAAAGACACACATTCATTCCAACCCAAACTTTGAGTCCGCATCCAGCTCTCATTCTTAAAGAGAAGTCACTCCTAGAGCTCTAAGGAGGAGAAGTAGCCATTCGCTGTCCTCAGACGTCATTTCTATAGAGGTAAAACCTAAACATGAACTTAAAGATTTAGGATTTAATGTGTTTGATATGTGGCATATTTTTAAATGAAAAAACTTATCCTCATCCCTCCTTTAATCATATTTTTCATCTTCCCAAAGTTTCAAGCCATTTCACTGGCTTTTTTTTTTAGTTCTATAACTTCTTCTAATTAGGGCTTTTGGGAATTCAAGTGGAGAAGATAAAATCATAGCCTTTCATACCTTCTTTTTTTATCAAATGGCTGGGATTTTGTTCCAAATCGCACTATCACACTATACGATTAAAAATCATACATTAAAATTCAATTCATATTATACGATATATTATTCATATAGTACGTTCATCGGTACAATTCCAGCTCAAAATACATATCATTTCCCTCAAATGACACGAGAAAATATCACACTATATAATTTTTTTATCATATTGTATGATATTGATGGTCAAGCATGATCAGAATTTCGTACAATATGATCCTTAACTCAAGAAAATAGCTGAAACTTTAAAAAACTTCCAAAAATCCATTTCTTATCAAAATTTAATATTTTAAGGGTCATTGGAACCGTCTCAAGCTCAAGTTCGTTTTAAAATTAATTTTAATAAATTTGGACAATGGGATTTGTGAGAAATTTAAGGTTTGTATAAAAATGAACTTCCTCAATTACTCTCAATTCAATCATCTGATTGAGCTCAAATTTGGATCGTATGTACTTGGGGATGTTCCTCACATGTCACAATTGTCTTGGCGCTTGATGAGGGCTACAATTTAGCAATTTCAATTGCCAAAGATCTTAGTAAGATTTTGACCAAAAATTTTGAAAATTCATTTTTTAAACAAAAAATACTTTATTCAAAAGGAAGTGAAAGTACAGCGACAGACCAACATAAACAGTTAAAGAAACAAAATCAAAGAAAAGGCAAGCCAATAGACGGACTCAGGAAATGCTACAAACAACATTCCCCAATCAACTAGGCAAGGGCCATTCATTTGTGAGACAAGCCAACGTGCCAACCAATCCATCGGGGCACCAAGGTTGCCAGCAAGCCACAACCAACATGAGGAAGCCAAATGCAGCCTCATTATTGTCCAAGCACCAGACCAAGTAAGCAACATCCAAAACAGAATCACCACCAGAGAAGCAAGAGACACCAACAATAACACCCAAAACCTTAGGCTAACCCACAACACCCAACAGAACACCATCGACAATTAACCAAAAAAGCAATCCAAAAACTACCATTTGGACTTCCTCCTGCCCCATTTACCCCTCCCACGCGAGGAATCATTAGCAACATAGTTACCAACCTTCAAAACATACATCTCATTAAATCAACCCCAGAATCACCACTATCTTCACCATACGAGGAGGAAAAATCCTCCAACCAATCATTTTGATCCAAAATGCTACCCTTCACATTATCCTTCAAATGCACTTTCAATTGTTCATTGGAGATAAGCAAGACTGAAACTTCAATAAAGGGTTCTCCATTCAATTGCAAAGGAAGAGAAGCCCGAGAAGGATCAGAAGTAAGCAAAAGAGAGGTAACATTAGTTTCATTAAGTGAAACATCCAATAAAACCTTATTGACAAGGCACCGATCATTCTCCTCATTCACAATCGTCTCAGCTAGAGGAGACACAACAGGAAAGGTCTCCAATCATGCACAGAAGCATCCAATCCACCATAACACTATCAACCTTCTCCACAATAAAATTTTGAAATTTCATTTATCTTAAAATACCAAGAATTAGGTTTTGATTTTTTTGTGTCTAGTGTGATTTGTTGTAAGTGTTAGGCACACCAAATTTCAAACCTATATGAACTAAAACCTAGGAAAAATAATTAAGGATTATGTTTACTAAAGTTAGAAAAATTCTAAAAAACTCTAAACATATTTAATATGAGTGAAACTTAAACCTCATAAAATTAATGATAATATATACTCTATGATTTAATTATACTTTGATTTGAGATTAATTAACACTTCAAACAAAATTAACTAAAATTAGTCCTTAATTAAGGATTAAAATCCAATAAAATGCAATAATTCATGGAAAAATCATAAAAATATAAAATAAATTTTAATCAACTCTAATTAACATACACAATAAAGGAAAAAAATTTCAGATCAAAATTTCTTAATTTTTAATTAATAATTAATTAACCCTTAATTAAATATTAATTAATTAAATAAACTCCAATGTTTGACTAATTACCCCTTTAACATTAATGAACAAACACCTTAAATGCAAGAATTTTGAACAATACTCCTATAGGAAATACTAAAATCATGCAGTCTTATTCTCACCCTTACATGTTTTCCTAGGATAACAAATTCTAGAGTTAGTTAGGCCGATGGTGTGGATTGCTTGTCGAATGCTTTACTTGGAGAGCACCTTATGTTTGTTTATTTATTTTTAGCACTCTAAATGTCATATTTATATTTATGTTGGTTCACTTAGGCTCTTTAAGAACTACATTAGAAGCACTAGATGATTACACAATTGCTCTTGATCATATTATATTAATTGTCAAATGATTTCATATGTTTTGCATTTCTTCCAAAAGTTAAATTAAATGTACCTAAGAATGATGTATATTTATGTGTTCCCGTAAATTATAGATAGATTGTATATAAATCAAGTTGTATAGTGTCCTGAGTTATAAAAGATTCAAATATATTTGCTTATACATTCAAACGTTACTCTAAAAGATGATATCCTCTCCCTTTGAGGATACTTTCTTTTTGAATTACATGGAAGATTTGAAGCTTGAAGATCTTAAGTAAATGTATTTGATTATATACATATGATAAACTTAGAAACCCAAGTTTGTTGTGGTGGAGCCTGACCAACTTTATTTTCTGCAAAGTCTAAGTCTGTTGTACATTTTCAAATAAATTAATAAATGGATTTTTATATTTACAGTCTTGTTTATTTATGCATCATGAATTGCATCATATGGGTGATAGCTTTCATTAGTGCGTAGAATCTCCCTAGGTTTTTCT